TATGATACTCAGCTGTAACACCCATTCTTCCCCACCCCCACCCCCCAGGCTCCTCTTTCAGGGTCTAGAGAGCTAGGTCCCTGGGACCAGTAGGAGCTAAAGGTCTGTGCATGGAGTCAGTGGTAGCAGTGCAGGGCTCCTGCCAGAGGGATTCCAGCTCCAGATCTTCAGAACCTGTCCTGCCCCTTCCATGGAGAATCAGAGGTGACTGGGACTGGAGCACCTGGCACTGGCAGGGGTTCCAGGAGCAGGACCTGGGGCTAGACACTATACACCCCGTTCTCCCTCCTTTGCCCATGGAGCTGGGGAGAGGAGAGAAGAGCACTGTGGGATTCTAGAGGACCTATAGGTCCCTTCTCCTCATTCAGATGTAACAATAAGACTCCCCAAAATGGCACTTCATCTAAAGAGGTGTTATTTTAAAGTGTTTCAGCTGCTTTTAGCATGTTTCAGAAGGCTTGCATGTATGTAAAGCTGGCTGTTTTACACATCTGAAATGTCTCTAGTGGGTTATGGAATAGAGAAGATCCCACACAATTTACTGATTCGTTTTGATGCACTGGCTGGGGGAGTAGTTTGTTGATTGCACGATTTCACAATGATTACACACTTAATTCATACAACACAATTTTATTTTAAAATTCTTTGCTACGCATATAACACTGCTTAGCTTTAAGAAATACCACAAACATTAAGAACACAATAACTACATATATCAGAAACAATGCTCCGAATTCACTTCCTTCCCAAACAATGCTATAAGAATTAGTATTACAAAAACAACTATAATTACAACTAAAAGTTAAATTTGAATCAATACTATTATTTTCATAATATACTTACAATCCTAGAATTCCGAGAAGCCAAACACCTAAATATGGTTTCATTCCTCAGTAGTACAATTTAATGGGTTGGCCTCAGTAGTACGGTTCAGTGGGCTCACCTCAGCAATATGATTCAATGGGCTGGCCTCAGCAGTGATAGGATTAAGTCCCCTTCCTTCAGTCCCTTTTGGGCGCTCTGCGGCTTCAGCGTGAACTAAGAGATTCGTGTTCAGGGAGAGGGTGGTTCGGGTGATCATTCTGATCCGGCCTACACTTGCGATTCTTCCTTCGTTGTTCTGCAAGTGAGAGAACCTCCAATTTGGGACAGTAGGTTACAGTTTTTATTGAGTGAGTTGCCGTCCTGGGCCCCTCCTACCCAAACCTGTCATTGCTCCCAAATTTGGGCTCGGATCTTACTCAACAGATTCTTTTGCTTGGTAATTAGTTTCTTTTGTTGATATTTTAATTACTTTGGGGAACTTCCATACCACTGCAAATGACCTTTTCTTTCCAATTTTTTTTAAAAGGCTCTAGGGTTTGATCTCTCGGAACTTGGGATATTTACTTAAGGGTCATTTTTAGGTTCTCTTTGTTAAAGACCTCTAAAGATAAAATTCAAGAGTTAAGACTTTGAGCAAATTCTGGATCTTCCGCACGTAGACCAAAACAATGGCCTAGATAAGAAGATAAATCTTGTCTTCTTCCTAAACTGGCTAATGGGCAACTATTACAAACATTCAAACTATTTCATTCAATATGACATGAAACATTTTTGTTACATCTGTTCACACAAACTCTAGTTCACCCACACACTCAACCTGCTGATTTGGGGCAAGTCCCTGCTTAGCGTATGTTTAGGACTCGCCTAACTCTGCATGCATTTTACACAGAGCTTAGGCACTTAACACAAGCTTCTGGGTCATGCTTTAGCAGCCAGTGGGAGTGTCTAAACAAGATGTTTACTGCAGTTGACTAATTAACTCATCAGTAAACATCTCAGCATCTATACATGAGGGCTATTGGGCTGGAGTGAACTCAAACTCCACAGCAGGGTAGTACTTGTAAATAGTAGTACTATTCTGCTGTGAAGTTTTTTACTCCCAATGCACATGTAGACACTGACCCAGCTGGTTGGGGCACAAGGGTGCTTCAGTGTGAGGGCTGCCTGCTGACAAGCCCCACACTGGAGCACTCTTGTGCCCCAACCAGCCCCTCCACAGCACATTGAGCCAGGTCAGAGCTGCCCCAGGCTGGCAGGCTGCCCCTTGGGGGCTGCTCTGACCTGGCTCAATGTGCTACAGTCCTGGGGGCACGTGTAAACACAGTACCAGGGAGCAATAAACTCCAATGTGATATGTGCTGGAGTTTATTGTGTTGCATTAATAAGCATGTGTAGACATGCCCAGTGACTACAACTTGGGCATTACAATGCTAACAACTGCACCATCTAAGCCTTATTTGTGATGTAGCCCTTTATTTCTCCATATTTCAGTCTTTCCATCTGTAAAAGTCAGATAGGTGATAACTGTAAAGTGCTTCACCATTATTGAGGAAAAGCATTATAAGAGGTTATATTATCTATGTCTATCAGTATTAAAGCATTCTGATAGTCACAAGTTACCTTTAGGTGATCACAATCTTCTCTAAGAGTAGTTAGGCTTCACATCACTGAGGTACAAGGGGAAGTGGTAGTCAACAGCAAAGATCATCTTTGCAAAGGACAGCCTCTGGCTTCTCTCCATTGACGCTAGAAAAGCATCCTTACTCCTCATGGAATGTACTATATGTAGACATGATTGCTTAGGCTCTGCTAAAAAAGCAGCTTCCAGGAGTAAAGCTTCCCGGCTGTTCTGCTTTGGCAGAGGTGGGCAATTATTCCAGCTGCAGAGCTGCTTAATGAGTTTTGGTGAGTTATCGAGAGCCACAACGGTAGCCCTGCCCCTTCCCCTGGTCACCATCTTGGGACCAGAAGTCCTGCCCCTAATCCCTGCCACCAGATATCCTTCCCCTTGCACTCAAAAGTACTCCTTTTGCCATCTTGGAACCAGAAAAAAAACATTATACTCAAAGACAAACATCTACTATAACATATATTAATTTTATTTGAAAAAATATTTTGTCCTGATTTGTGTGCATTTGCATAGATGTAGTAGCATAATAACTAAAAAACAAAGTCTTACTCTTGTATATCGTGTGGTGAGGGTGTGTGGGGGGTATGGTTAGCGGGATGGAGGGGTGTGTATGGTTGTGTGGGGGGGTACTGAGGTGGTTTGGCTGTGTGCATGAGGGGTATAAGGTATGTTGGCAGTGTGGGTGTGTGTATATGTGAGAGGGTTGTTGGGGTGTGTGTAGGGTGAGGGAGGGTGGGGGCTATGGGGATCCCCCTCACATACCCCCCTAATGGCACACAGGCCCTGCTGTCTGCAGCAGCAGCAAGCAGCAGGCCCTCGGGTGCTCTGGCCCATGCAGGCATGGCTCCAGCCAGGTCCAGGAGCTGCATGTGGCAGCAAGGAGCAGGGCCAGGCCATTGGCTCCGTCCCATGGGGATTCTCCCCTGTGATGCGAGAGTCCTGGGAGCTGTCCATGAGCCTTGTGTTAAAGAGGTGGGCTGGCCTGGCTTTGCTCTTTGCTGCCATGTGCAGCATGCAAGGGCCACTCTCATGATTGGGGGCAGCAAGGCAGGCCTTACGAGGGGAGGCGACAGGACCTGAAGCTGTTCAGCCTCCACAAGAGAAGGCTGAGAGGGGATCTAGTGGCCATCTATAAACTGGCCAAGGGGAACCAGCAGGCAGTGGGAGCGGCCCTGTTGCCTCG